TCCTTGCTAGTGCAGGGGATGTTTTGTACTCAAGTCTTCACAGCTCCATAAATTCAATTTCTAACAATGTTTTACTAAATTTGCATTTATTTCTGCATGCTTTCAGAAAGTTCTTGTTTTGGACACCTGCATGCAAGATATAAGGGTTCTTATAAACATGTATGTATACTAAGAGCTTTGCAAATCGAGATACAGAAATCCAATTCACCTCATTTCTTGTGCAAAAGTAAACAACTCTCTGTCAGACTGTGAATTAACTTTGGCAAGTGTTGGCAAAGCTCAGTAATTGCACCTATAAGTGTAAGTGCTAGAGAAAAAAAATTACCCTATTAATACAATGGAAACACTTGTTCACTGACTGAGATTCTCATGTTCAAGCAAGTCTTAAACAAATTCCTTTTTATGTCCCCTTTGCAATGCTCGTATATGCCTTATAGTCATATCAAGAAATTTAGTGTTCTACGTTCACAGGAGATAAAAATAAAACGATAAGAAGTGATACCCAAAATTAAGAAAACTTGTCTGTTTAACTGGGGCAATGGAAAGCTACTGACACTTTTGGCAGCCTCATAAAGATATGCACAATATTTATTTTTTTATTTTAACAAATGGCAGCACTGTTTTGGGATGCTATTGGTGCTTTTTATGATTATAATGCTTATCTCCTTTTCTCCCCTAAGGCTAGACAAGGCCCCAGTTTGACTGGAGGGCTACATAGCCCGGAGAGGCATCAATGTGATGGACCCAGAAACACCTGCCCCCTTGACAACTAGCATGATTGACAACAGAGCATCCAGAATAATATCTTCCTCCCAGAAAAGATACCCACATCCTTTTTATTCTTTCTGAAATCCCCACATTGCGAAAGATTTTGAGAGAATTTTTTGCTTAGCATGAAAAGGCATTAAAAGTCTTTAAACAACTTCTGCCCAGCTTCTGGAAATAGAATTTTGTGGCAAAACGGTAGGACAGATCTCTCATTTTCTTCCAGAGGAAGTTTTGGAATGACAAGGCTATTTGAAATATTATATACAGTCCAAAGACATTATTTTAATTCCAGCTATCACAAACGATTTTATGGTCCTAAAACTGAAATGTGCAACTTTACCTCCAACTTATGATTAGTATTTTACTTAAAAAATAAGACCTACTGGGGAAAAAAGAATAAAAGAAAAAGCAAAAAGCAACAAAATAAATATCAGATCAGATGACTGGCTGAAGAATAAGGTGGTGTGAACAATTCACCTCTCACAGAGTATGGTCTGAGAACTAAAGGCAATTGCTTTTTAAACTGTCCATCAGATTTCATAGCTAATAAGTTGCATATGAGAAGTTAAACTGCTGAACAAGTCTATTTATACAACAAAAATGCCCAAGGCTGTTTTAATAGAGCGAAGTGTGGGAGAATCTATTTCACTTGCAACAGTAAAAATTTCCAAGCAGCTGAAACCGAGTGAGCAGACAGCAGAAGGCACAGCTGAGACAACACAAAATCCAAGCATCCAGGACTATTTTGGATTCATGTGACTCAATGATGGTAGCAGGAAATAAAGAGAGGACGAAGCAAGACCATCATACACATAATTCCCTCATTTACGGGAGATTATTCTGTTGCATCAGTCAAACAGGAATTATTGCTGGCTGGGTTGGAAACTTGTAGTTGGCAATATATTAAATAAATCTTGGCAAGTAAAACTGTCGTGCTTTTAAATGGGACAAGCCTCTCATTTCTGACAAAACTATGCTGTTTTACTTCCTTTTGTTTTCTTTTTGGCTAAAAAGGATGGGAATGCCATCCCCTCACAAAAGGTGGCCCCTATCACAAGGTCCCTATATATACTATTTTTCAGTGAAAACCACCCACAAATGTCAGTTGCAAAAAGCATAAAACCATCCTACTGAAGAGATACAAAAGGATACAATACTCTTGGGCATGGAATTATCAGTTCTCTAGCCACTATCTCAGAGCTCTCTTGTGAGGAGTCTTAGGAGAAGCATAGGTAAGAGTCAAAATCCCTGTAAAAAGCCTGTTAATAGTGCAAAACCACATGAAACATCTTTGTCTTCAGCCACTTCAACTATATTTAATTCTAATATTCTAAAGTAAATTTCCTCCTTATACCAACATACAACATCCCAATACTCTCTTCCAGCAAAGGGGTGAGTTCCAGAAAGGCAGCATAACAAAGTTAACCAAAAGGTAGGGATTCCAAATTGGTAAACAGAAGGATTTTGCTTGTCACCCTCCACAAATCTTGCTTTCCAATCCTGGGGAAAAAAAACCCTCAGAAAACTTCCAGTGCTTTCAGGGGCTGCAAAAATCAGAGAAGTGATTCTTTCCCAGGATTACAGAGAATAAAGCAGAAGACAGTTGAACTTTCCATCCGTGTGTGAGAACAGATTTGATGTCAAAAGTCACAGGAAATTTTATATGTATATAGTTATATGCCTAAAAATAAATTTAAGAAATAACAAATCTTATGTACTGTAGCATCTATTTCTGCTAAGTGTGTTATATAAACTAGATCTCTTAACATACAGAAATTTAGTTAAAGCCATATCCTTTACTGAGTTCTGACTGCATATCTTATTCAAGCTTTGCACAACCTACTGTAAACTGCTTGCTATCCTAGATTTGAATCTCTAAATTTACTGTTCTGTATATGTTGTCAAATCACTAATATCCTCTTGCAAGTCATCTTTGCTACTAACATAGTAATTTTCCCTATAATGACTCTTCATTTAAGACTATATGTTTACAATTTTCTACCATTTAAGTGATTTAAGTATATCATCTATTGAATGTCCTGGTCTTGGCAGCAAAGAAGAATTTTCTTGCCAGATGGAATATGAAAATAACATGAAATAAAACATTTGCCCAAAACATAAATAGCTGGCAGCTATTCCTCAGAAATAAAAATCCTTCTTAACCTAAAAGTAACCAGTATGTCAAGTTCGCCGTAAAATATTGGTCGAGAATTCATTTATGCCCTTAATCAATGCCCTGTAGCAGTGAATAGGGCAGGCTAGGAGGACAACATACCTACCATATAGAGGCCTTCATTCATTATTAACCATTTTCTCTCTCCCCTCTTTCAGTGACAGCATAATCCAGGTGCTTACAAAACTGCCTCCTAGTCCTTCCTGAAATTTACCTTCACAATGTCAAACCTAACCCGATGTGACATGCATACAATGGATGGGTTCTGTGCACAAAACCAAAGAGAACAATGTTAAGGGATCACTGCTTGCTGCATAAAATAGAAATTAAACTCTAGGGACACAAAAGAATGGGATGGTTACATTTATGCATTACCATTTTTCTAATATCACTTGCAATTCAATGAATTTGGTTACAGCAATGGAGGTAAATGAAACCAGATTCACAGAGACATATATATGTGTGTGCATGTGATACGTGTACACACACATGTTCAGAAACAGATATATGGGGAGGTAAAAAAAATTAAGACTAACACCTAAAGGAATCTCACTTTAGTAGAATGCATCCCAAAGTAAGAATATGCAACGGCAAGTATAAGCTAAAGCACATTAATGCAGCAATAACAGTAGTGATTTTCAGAGCAGCATTAGCATACAGGACTTTTTGGATGGCATTTTTAAGATATATGGAAATTACTACTAAGTAGGCATTAAATATATCACTACTGTGGACACTTAAAATGGCATTAGCTCTGAATTGAATTTAGATGGAATAAATAGATAAAGCTATTTAAAGCTATAAAACTGAAACCTTAATATGAGAATCAGATCATTGATTGCCACATGGTCCAGTAAAGGCAAAAGCAGAATCTGGCCATTCACATAACCCTGCTGTGTTACCACCAGTGTGTTTGCCTCATCCACCCCAGGGTTTGAAAGACATTTGAGTCAGGAAGACTTTCTGAGACCTACTCAGCTGAGTCTGAGGAAAGCATTAAGCCTGATATTTCATAATTTATTATGAAAAGCAATAATAAAGATTATAATTTCAGAGTCTTAATCTGAAAACTACACCAAACCCATTGTTATGCTTGCTCTCACTCCATTAATGCAAGTGTGTGTTGGGTAGTTGGTTTATATTTCACTTTACTGTAAACTACAAGTTACACCATTTGAAGGAACGAAGGATCTGTTGCTTCACTGAACAATAACAAAAAGTCCAGACTTGCTCCTGGCCATAGTGCTAAAGCCTGAACTGCTCCCACAGAAAACACAATTGGACACAACAAAAATTGGTAACTACGCTAACCAGCTCCGCAGCATTTTCTTTTGTTAACTCACACATTTCTTTCCTTCTATTTTGTTACCTACCCACACCATATTATCAGTCACCTTTTGCAGCAACATATTTAAATCACTTTCTCAGTAATTATTTTTCCTATCAGTAATCAGGCATTTTCCCCACTTTTCAGAACTTCTCAAGAGTGAAGCTCTTCTGTTTATTTCTCCAGTCACCACTATTCATACACAACATCACACTGAAGAACATTTCAAGTCATGCCTCATCTTAATGAAAATCAGAAAGTTAATTCATCTGGGTAGCATATAAACCGATCTAATATTCAATCAAAAATATTTATAAAACATATCAGTTAAACTATCAATTCAGCTGTCACATACATTTTCCATTTTGTCCTCTAATCCTCATTTTGTATTTCATATTTCAATTCCTTTGAGGAAGCAGTTCTAAAACAGGCTTTTAATCCAGAATGAGTATTTCAAATAATATTTACAGTCTTATCTGTTCTTAATACAAGTGTCTGAACTGTACTAAAAATGGCAGTTTATCTCCAAAATTTGGATTAAAAAAAATAAAATCTTTATCCATCCTTAGAATGCTTAATTTAAATTTTTTTTTCTGGAATATCATCAGTTATATAGAATACAGCAATAAAAAGAATAGCATCAAAAAAAGGCAAAGAATGGGGTTTATTTTTAGCCTTCTAATCATGGCTTTAAATGAAGAGACAGAAGAGTTAGAAATGGTTCATACTGACCTGAGCCCATAAAGGACTGTCCCATCTGGATGCAAACGGATCATTCTGTTCTTCACAGTGACACCATGTACAAATGACTTCTTGTCATTTAAAAAATAGGTATCGGGCACCCACAGCTGATCAGCTACTCTGTTGTCCAGAGTAAGATTTAGAGGTATTACATTATACGACAGCCTCTTATCCCTCCACGCCTGCTGAAAGTACATTGTCAAGGTATAGTCCTGTGATGATAAAAACAAAAGAAGTTGGCATTGAAACAGATGGCATACATATGCAAAAACAAAAAGACAATGCAAATACACATTCATTATGACTGTTCTTAAAGGCAAACATTTCTGTTCAGAATTTCCATAAGAAGATTTATTTATTTTTACAGTACTGAACATCTTGTGTATACTTAATAACAGCAATGAGAATACAGAGAAGATTGGGCATTTACATTTTCTGAATGACTTGGGAGTTCTCATTTCAATATTTAAAAATAAAAATGGGAAAAAAATTGTAGACATTTAATAGCCTGCAATTTCTGTAGCACTTAACAACCTGGGAGTTCCAGGAAACAGGAACATTCACAGATCTTACTTTCATCTCAAGGTCTTCACTACATTCAATAGAGCTCTGGTTCAGACCTTCTATCTCTGAAGCTGCAGTTACCACCCAAACACTTCACTAAATTAAAATCTCTTCAAAGTCTGTTAACTTTCCCCAGGGCACTGAAACCACTGGGAAGTCTCTGAGGTTCCCATGCTACAGACTCTTTTGGTCTTCAACTTAATTTTACAGATGAAGTAACTCTGGTTACTTCAGTGGAACAGTTCAGAGAGCACAATTAGCATGTCTGTAAATATTCACAGCATTATGAGACTTGCATTGTCTTGATGCAGGCCACTACTGAACAGTACTTCTGAGAGGTTTTGACCTTTTGGTGCTTTAAAGAACAATAGATTTACAAAGGTTATATATTTGTAAAAACTTATACAGAGGCAGAATATTCATTGTATATTAGCCTATACTAAAAAAACCCTCCATAAATAATACATAAAGAATATTGAGAGCAGCCCTAAGGACAAACCCTTGGGGGTGTTGGTTGACAAGAAGGTCAACATGATCCAGCAATGTGTTGGCACAGAAAGCCAACCATGTCCCAGGCTGCACTGAAAGCAGTGTGGCCAGCAGGTTGAGGGAGGGGATTCTGCCCCTCTGCTTCACTCTTGTGAGACCCCACCTGGAGTATTGTGACCACACCTGGGGTCTCCAACACAGGGCCCTGGGCATGTTGGAATAAGTCCAGAGTACACCACAAAGATGATCAGAGAGAGGTCTGGAGCAACCCTGCTCTGGAGACAGACTGAGAGGTTAGGGCTGTTCAGCCTGGAGCAGAGAAGGCTTAGAGCCCTTTCCAGTGCCTAAAGAGGCTCTGAGAGAGCTGCAGAGGGACTTTGGACAAGGGCCTGGGGTGACAGAACAAGGGATGAGGACTTTAAATGAACAGAGGACAGGGTTAGATTAGATACTAGAAAGAAATTCTTCCTGGTGAGGGTGGTGAGACACTGGCATAGGCTGCCCAGAGAAGCTGTGGATGCCTCATCCCCGGAAGTGTTCAAGGCCAGGTTGGATGGGGCTCTGAGCAACATGGTCTAGTGGAAGGTGTCCCTGCCCATGGCAAGGGCTTGGAACAGCATGATCTTCAAGGCCCCTTCCAACCCAAGCCAGCACTGGATTCTATGAATACCAAAAGGAGTAATATTTCAAAACCAGTATTCTGTTTTGCTTTTTCTACAGAAGTCATAATCAGGCTTCAAACTATTTTGATTTAAAATTTGTATTAACATGGACTTCAATAAATAGTGAGAACTGTTAGCTAACAAAATATTGCTTTCCACCAAGTCAACAAAAGCTGCTGCTATTATCAGCGACCCAAGAATTCAAGTCATGCCAGAGTAGGAAAGTCTATCTATGCATCAGTCTTGAGGCACTTGAAAACAAGAAATCCCACCTAACTTAGAACAAATAGTTAACCACAGTGATTATATCACACCAATGCATATCTAGCACTGCATAAAAGAGAAAAGCATGCAAGATATGAACACTATTCTGCATAAATGGAATATTAGTTCTCATTAGCTATATTATATTTTAAAGGAGAGTCCAATAGTGAAAGTATTTTTTATTCAGCTGGCAAATAAAAAAAGAATCTTCC